TAGCATCTTGAATATCATTAATAAGATTGTGGAAATGTGTTGGTTATAGAAGTATCTACATAACATCTTTTTGGTTTTGTCTCTCGGCTTGCAAAACCTAAAATATTTACTATCTGGCACTTTACAGAAAACATTTGCTAATCCCTGGCTTAAAACACAAAATGAGCTGGCCTGGAACTCAGCTGGGTTTGCTCTCAGCCAAGTGCTTGCCTTGAGAAATGGGCCAGGCACCGTGCTAAGCCCTTACATTTATGAGCTTGCTTAATTGTCATAGCAACCCTGAAAGGTAAATGTTATCATTTTTCCCATTTTACAGATAATGGAAGTAGCTCAGAGAGGTTAAGGCCATTATCTAAGGTCACACAGCTGTTAAATGTCAGTTGGTTCCTGTGTTAGAACTTAGGCAAAGAAATCTCTAAACCTGTACTGCTTGAGCTTATGGAGAGTCTATCAGACATGGTAGACCTTTAAGGCACTGGTAATACAGTTGTTAAAAAATGAGACATAGCACAAAACATTAAAGGAAGTTCATGGCAAGACCTTGGTAGTATAGAGGAATAAAAGCAATAATAAATAGTAAAAGTAATCATAATTAAAGTAGGAATAAATTCTGTCATTTAGGAGATGTGTATTGTGTTTCAAGCTCTTTCTGAACCCCTTTCTTGTACTGACTTATTTACTCTTCCCAACAGCCTGGGAAGGTTTAATAACCTGCCTAATTAAGTTCACACAGCTCACAGGTAGTGGAGCTGGGATTTGAAACCTGGCAGGCTGAGAGTCTGTTCTCCTCACCAACCCCTGAGGAACAGAGAAGTGGGTGCTGATGAGGGCAGTGGGTAGATTTAAGTTTCTGCACTGAGTGGCTTCCTGCTCTCCAGGCATACTGTTCAGATTCTCAGGGTTTTCCTGGAAGAAAGACTCCCATCCAAATCACTGGATTTTCCTTATGTTTTTGAACTTGGGTCTGTTACTTCACCCTGGTCTTCCATTTCCTCAGCTGTAAAATTAAAGAATTGGACTAAATTGGTGGTTTTCAAAGTGTCTTTGGGTTCCCAACTTGGCTTCAATCACAGTAGCTGCACTTATAGCTGTTTGAGTTTCTGGGCTCCCAGGTAAGATTTTGTTTGAAGAAATGGTTCTTTTGCTGCTAAAGCCACTGGGCTAGGGCTGTCTAAGGCCCTTCCAAGTCTCAGAATCCTAAAATCCAATGGCTGTGATGGTGGCGGAATGAATAAGCAGAGAAGCCAGGCCCTCCTCCCCCAGCCCCTCACCAGGTCTGCCCACCCCACCTCCTGATTGCACCTTCTAATCAGTGAAAGTGAGAACCTGCCTCTGAAGCCCCTGGGCTGGTCCAGGACAGAGGGGCCCTTCTGCATCTGCAGCACGGTCAGTCACACTTGTGGTTTCTATCAGTCCCTGCCAAATTCACGAGCCCACACGAGAACTGAATCAACATTCCCCTTTGAAATCCCATCTCCTACTGTTGGTAGGACAGGTGTTTCTGCTTTATCTTTTTATGCTCTTTAAAGCCATGGCCTTTTCCTAGAGTGGGTACTTTAGATGGGGGCTTTGCCATCACGGACTGTGGGGATTATCTTGTCACTTTCTGTCAGAATACAGCATGATTAACTGCAGCCCTAATATTGGATCAGGCCCCTAAGAGAAAACCCCTCCGATTTTCTGGTCATTCAGTCCGGAGCCCTTGATCTGAAGGCAGGTTGGTGTGCTGCAGTGTGATGCTGAGTCCACTTACAACATGAGGGAGACATGAGATGGGTGGTTTTGCAGTTGCTGGTGCCAAGCCCTATGTGCACCCTCTGTTTTGGGGGGATTTGTGTTGACTATTTACACAGCCCAGGAAGTGCAGAGGCAGCAAGCAAAGGCTGAAATATTTCTTCCTCCTGGCCAAACCAGCCCCCCAGCCAAGCACACTTGCAGAGATTCCCCTGTCATTAGGCTGACTTATTTACTAGGTAAATAAGGTAACCAGGTTTAAATTAAAGCCCAGACTTGCCAGTGGGCGGAGGGGCAATTCCATTATTTCCAGCCTTTTGTCCAACAGAAACTGCTTTTGTAGTCTTGATTACAGAAATCTATGATTTGAAGACTTTTGCATTTATTAGTTAATACTTGATTTTTTCCTTTTAAAAATATGAATTGAAATCTCTATAAGAATCAG